TTCATTGCTACACAGACTTTTCTCTAGTCGCGGAGAAGAGGGGCTACTCTCTGGCTGTGACGCATGGGCTTCTCACTGTGACGGCTGCTCTTGTGGAGCAAGGCTCTCGGGCGCACCAGCTCCAGCAGTTGCGGCACATGGGCTCAGAAGTTGTGGCTCCCAGGTTCTAGAGCAGAGGCTCGGTAGTTGGGGTGCACAGGCTTAGCTGCTCTGCAGCATGCAGGATCTTCCTGATCGGGGAGCAAACCCGTGTCTCCTGCATTGGCAGGTGAATTCTTTACCACTGAGCCACCAGGGAAGCCCTACACAGCATTGTTAATCAGCTATACTCCAATATAAAAAAGGGTCTTTTTAATTCTAATTCTAAAAATAATATATTCCAAGAGTCCTCAAAATGTTCAAATTACAACAAGGCGTGGCAATTCTGGACAAAATAATAGAAACTGCTGCCATAGTAATACAGTAATACAGGAAGCAGTAGAGGCAACTCAAGTGAGAGGCAGAGGGTGGATGCCAGCATCTTTGAGGTTAAATTCCAAAGTAAAAGTGACCTTTATGAATTGCAGAAGTGATCAGAAAAAAAGAGAGAGAAGAAACCACCACACACACACAGAGAAATTCAAAATGGCAAATTTAAATAAAACATCTGGGGAATGGGGAAAATTAAGTTTTCCCCCAAAGGTAAGGTAAGCAGTAACTCTCACAAATACTACTTTTTAAAAAAACTGTCTTGAAGTACTGCAGTAGTCCAGAATAACTAAAAGCAATTGTTCAATGAAACAAATGTGTATTGAGTGCCTATCAGATGCCAAGGCACCATACTAGGAACAAGGCTTGTATGTGCTGTGTGCACAAGGTCTCATCCAACTCTTTGCGACCCCACGGTTGGGTGGGGGTATTACAACACATACAAATGAAAAGACACAATTATTTTCCTCAAGAGGCACACTCACAACAAGCACTTGAGGACGTGTGTGTGTGTGCATGAGCTCATTTGTACAAAAGATGGAAGAGGTGTGGAGAGTGGACAGGGCACTAGACCGAGGACCACAGGGGAGAGATTCTTGTCTCAACTTGTCCGTAATGGGCTCAGTGATTATGAACAAAGTGCCTAAGCAAATGGAGGACCAAAGTAGTGGCCCTCCCACAGGATCACAAGACTAATTAACAGCTGACCTGGAGGAAAAATTTTGGTCTTCTGGCTCCTAGACCAGTGAACTTCCCAAAATACAATGCGTATGGCAGACAGATAAAGAAAAGTAGAGGAGAAGAAAACCCTTTGGCTTCAAGTCATCTGCAGAGAAAGGAAAGAAGGAGAATAAGGAAAGAGTGGGAGTGAAATAAAAGGTTCAAGTCGTGCTTCAAGAGATGTCAAGAAAGGAAGCACTTAATAGTGTATGCATCAGGATAATGTAAAATCTGATTATATTCTTATTCAAATCATAGCTTAGAATTTTTTGCTATAAAACCATCAAGGACCAAGTGTCCAAAAATGATACATGTGAATGAAACTTGAAGAAAAATAGATAACAGAGAGGAAAGGGAGGGAGTAGTTTATAATAATATCATGCAAATATATACGAAGCCCTTCTAAAGAGACATGTGGACCCACTGTGCTCAGATGAACAAGAAGAAATAGTACTTATTATAACATATTATTTACTCTACAGCTTTTATGTCACCAATTTCAAAAATCTTTGGGAGTCAGAAGGGTTAAAAACTGGAATGCCTGATTAAGGATAATATGTTAATAATCTGTTAATATGTTAATATTAATAATTATATTATATATAATAATATTAATATTAATATAATTTGCTGATATGTTAATGTGTTAATAATTTCTGGAAATCATTAACATTATTAACATTAAAAAGGAAAGTACCCCAGGTACACACCTGAGGGAGAATAATGAAATATCACTGGGCTCCAACCAAGTTACTGCACTAGAATCACCTGTAAACCCTGAAAAATACAGAATCTCAAAACACGGAATCTCAGACCTACTGTGCCAGAAGCCCTGAGTGTTGAGGCCAAGAGGCAGCCCAGGTGTTGCTGCTACAGCCAGGATGCGGAGCTTTGTTCTATCACAGTGGACCAAGTAAGGAGCGAGACCACTAGGAATGGCATCAGAGAGTGGGAACTAGATCAATGCAAATTTTGTGGGCAAAATAGAATTTCTGCGGGTGTGATATTTTTTAAATGTATTGTAAGGCTGGTCTGAAGCATCCAAGCATATCCCACTGAATTCAAACATTTTCTAAAGGTCCTAAAGTCAGTGACTACAGTTCAGGTGAACCAAAAGTTACTGTTCTAGGCTATAAGCAACTCACAGAAGAGGCAGCAGAGTGGGAATGGCACAGAGATACCAAGAATGTAGGTAGATATTTTTTTAAAAATAAAAAACATCAGGAAAAAGAGAGACTAAAAAAAAATCACTCTCATCCTCCCTCCCCCAAAAGAAATAATAATAAAACAGAAAGAACAAGAAGAAACAATTCTAGGGTAAATTTTATCTTCATCTGAAAGAAAAAACAATTACTCTTTGTGCTTTTTTTTAAAAGAAAGGGAAGAATTCAACTGAGAAATCATCTAGCAGGCAGCAAAACCAGGGAGTGACTTCCCATTGCAAAGCAAAAGAAAACAACGAGCAAGGGGTGGTCTTGGGTAGCTGTTTAGACAATCAGACAGATGGGCTGACAGCTCCTTGCTTCAGGAACTCAGTGATGTTTAAATTAACAACTGGCCACTAGCCAAATACAGGAACACTCAAAAGTTTAAAAGGGTGTGTTATAATTGATACCTTGGCAAAGCACAATGATAATAAATTGAGAAGATTCAACAAGCTTTCACTACTAGACTCTGAAAAGTTTCAAGATCTGTACCAAGAAAAGGGCTTTTTAATCACTTCTATTCCCATGTAGTTTCGCTTCTGAAGAACACCTGTCTAGAAATCAAAATATCTAAACTCTGTCTTTGAGCTAACACTAACAATTAACTTGTCCATCTGAAAGCTAGCTAGTAAGAGCAGTGCCTTATCGGGGCAGAAGTATAGGTCCTAGAATGAGAGAAGCCCTGTGTGTCAGAGTAATCCTATTCCTGACATGTCTTATCATTAAACACTTAATTTAGCAAATCACTTTGCAAACATATTTATTATTCCCTCCAACTCTCTAAAATAAGTGATTTCTGGTTCTCTTTGATAGGTGACGAGATGACAGAACATGAAGATAATTTACTAAAACAAGCTAATGGTAGACCAAGGATTATAATGTTCAGACTAGCCCATTGTTTATACTCCTCTATCCTAAATTTACACTTTACTAAAGCTTTGGCTCAAAGAAAAAGGAAAGGCAAAAATATTATCATGTGTTTTGATTCATCATCATACAGCATCTTGGTCCACTTCTGAAATTCTTAGGGACCCGGAGGTGTATGGACTTTGAACTTTTCAAGAAAGGTTTGGTGTTGAACAATCCAGCACTGTGATAAATAACTTTGGTGTCTTTTCAACATCTGTGATTGGCATGTCAACTGCCTGTTAACAATGTACAAAGAGCAAATCTTTCTAAAGCCCAGCATCTTCATTACTTTCTCTTTGCAAAGAGTCATAGCTCAAGTTCTAGGTTTTTTGGTAAAGGTAAAACTCTTTCTTCAGATTAGGCTAGGAAAAGAAGGGGCCACTTCCAGTTCAACAAACATGCACAAGCCACCATCCCACTGGAAGCAGAGTTCACAAACACACACACACACACACACACACACACACACACACACAAATCCTGCCTGCAAAGGACTTTCTGAATACCTTTTGACTGCCACCAGTGTAATATACATCCTCGTAATTAATCCTATTAGTTGGGTAATTTCATTCCCATTTTATTGGTGAGTTCATACAACAGAGCTGGGTTTGAACCCAGGATTACAGCGCAGAGCTCCAAAGCCCAGGTTCTTTCCACGAAACAGTATGGAAAGAAATTTGGATCCTACGATTGTGGGTGGGATGGGTAAGATACGATTGGATTTCCTTTCCTCGATCCAACCGTGTTCTGAAAGACTGTTGCAGATATCCAACCAAAAAGAAGCTCTGGAAGGCAGCACTTTGAATTAACGTATCCACTCTTCTTCACCCGCCCCTGCCCCACCCCCAACCATGCCAAAAGAACAGCCTTAGCTGCTGCCAGGTTGGAGGAGTTGGTGATCGTCACACCACATTCCTGAGGCTGGACACAGACTGAAACTGCGCCCGAGCTCTGCGCCTCGGAAAGAATAACAGCAGTAGAGATTTTTAAATCATGTGGCTCAGCATGCAGCCACACCAGTTTTCCTACTGCTCCTGCCTCCACCTTTCAAAGACTCGAGCCAAACTTTACACATCGGATTCGTGGCGAACCGTGGAACTCAGAGCGTCAGAACTCGGGCGCGCCTCAAAAGCCCGTCCCCATCCAAACCAAACCCACCCATTCACACCGTGGGCCTTCCTTCAGCATTGCTGAGTCTGGCTGCGAAGGTGCAAGCCGCTGGGTTGGGACGCCCTGCCCCCGCTCCCTCCACGACAGAATCTGGCATTCCTGCGCTCAGCCCATCGGCGGTCCGCGGCCGGCGATGGTTGTCCCAGGCAGCCCGCCCCCGGCTCTCCCCTAACCCCAGGAAACACGAAGCCAAAGTTTCCCAAATCCCCGAACTCAAGTGCTCCAAGAAAGGGAGTTCCTAAGGCTTGCTGCCCGGCGTCCCTCCGGCCGAGGAGGCGTGTGTGGGACCCAAAGGCGGAGGGGAGCTGCAGGCGGCGAGGGGCGAGGGGGAGGGGGCGCACCCAGGGAGCAGTCCGAGGCTGTCCAAACTTTAGGAACTAAGTGGCCTCACTCCACGCCGACGGCCGAGCCCGGCCTTCTCGCGAAGTGGAGGACGGAAGGGTGGGAATGGTCGCCTCAGGTGGCCGGCCGGGCCAGAGGGGCGTGAGCCGGGGCGCCGGGGACAGCACCCTTCGGTCGGATACTCACCACGCGCCGGGGCCGCGCGGCACAGCCACAGTGCCAGCAGCGCCCACAGCGGAGCGGGGCGCAGGGCGGGCATCTTCTCGGTCGCCTCCTCCTCCGCCGCCGCCGCCTGGGCAGATCCACATGGGGAGGGGGTCCCGACAGGGGAGCCCCCGCTTTCTCCTCCCTTCCTCCTACTTCCGCGGCTCACGGCCTCGCGCGGCGCCCCAAAGCTCAGGCTTCAGTGTCTCCACTCCCTGCACCCCGAGTCCGCCGTTCCTGGGCCGCCGCCACAGCCGCCGCCCGAAGTTTGGCTGAAACTTTCTCGGGTGTGCAGCGAAGCAGCCTCGTGTGTCCTTCCGCCTCGGCCGCCTCCTCCCACCGCAAACCCCGCCCCGCTGTCGCCGCGGCCAGGCCCCGCCGCCTTCGGCACCCAGGGGTTTCCCGCAGGAAGAAGCGCCGGCCCGGGCTGCGCGCGGAGGGATCTACTATGAGTCCTCAGACACCCCTCCAGCCTTGCCAACCCGCGTCGAGTCCGGACGCGCCTTAACTCACTCGGCGCTGGAGAGTCTCCCGGGCCGGGCCTCTGCCAGGGGTGGTGTTAGGACTCTGAACTTGAATCTCTAGGGTAGTGAACTTTCCGGGAGAGACAGACATCATCCAGCGAGATGGGTATCGCCCACATACAACCGTACATCCACACACTCCCCGGCTAGCTAGAGGAATGCGACAGTGAAGGACCAGTGCTGTCAAAGAAAGCTATGGGAGCAAAAGCGCCAAAGTCCATTTAAAATGAACAGAGTCATCGAATGGGTTGTGTTGCACCCTTCATTCCTTCAGTCAGTCATTCATTTAGCAAACATTTCTTAAGCGCCTTTTTTCGTGTAGCAGTGTGCCTAGTACAGTGGACTGATACTAAAGACACATGATGCACAAGCTAGTTTTGAGGACTGAGACTTTGCTGCTTTTTTCATAGAGGAGCTGGGATGAAAGCAGAATCTTAAAAAGTTAGTAAAATTTGCATAGGATAAGGAGATCAGCTAAGGATATCCCATTGTAAGATGATAATATCTGAAACTTGGAAACAAACTAAATGCCCACCCATGAAGAAATGCATGAATAATGCATGGTATATTTTAAAAATGAAATGCAATACAACAATTGAAAAGACTATATTCATATATAGAGATAAATATGAGGTTTATCTAGAGAGAGAGAGATAAATTGTGAAGTGATAGTTTAAAAAAGCTAACTGCAGAAAGAGATATAAAGAAAAACTATATTATTTATGGATGCATACCATACAGTATATAGTAAAAGAGAAAAGTAACCAAAATAATGCTTACTTTCATGACAGGAAAGTGGGGGATGTGATCAGGTATGGGTACAAGTGGCTTGTTATTGTAAGAAAAGAACTGAAATAAACAAAAAGTTTGTGTGAGCATAGCATTCCAGGGGAGAGCCATCATGAAAGCAAATAAGATAAGAGAATCAGTAGATGAGTCTGGCATTATTAGCAATGACCAGAGTCAAGGAGAGGAGGTTGGGACCAGATTATGCAGGTCCCTGACTGACAAGCGGGGGATGGAGGGTACGGTTATCTCTCAGGTCATAGAAAACCACTGAAGGTTTTTGAACAGGAGTGAGACTTGAAGGAAAGAAAGGTTGCTTGATAATGCTGTGCAAAATTGACTGTCAGGAGCAAAAGGTGAACTGACCCAAGGACCAGTCAGGAGCTTGTGAAACAGTCCAGGCGCGGGGTGATGAAGGCGTGCAGTAAGGTAAATGCCAGAATGGAAAAGAAGGGGGGAAAATGGCAGGGGGGGGGGCAAACCTCTATTACTAATTGGATGGGGGAATTTATATCCTGTTGGGAAGGGGAATCTTACCCACAGAGCCTCTCCCTGGCTCCTATAGGGAGCTAGACTTCTAAAAATGGTAAATATAAGGTCCTTACTTGACTGGTCTCCAAATCTTGTTCTCCCAGCCCCACTGTGAACTTTACACATTAACAGTATTGAATGACTTGAGATTCCCCCAAACATAACTTCTTCGTTCAGTCTCTGCACCTTCTGTCCCCAGATTTGGAATGACTCTTGTAGCCCCCGTCCCTCTCCCTCTTGGTGAACTTCTAATCATTCATCCTTCAGTCCTAAGAAGGATCTCCAGACACTGTAATGAATTTGTACCCCGAAGACAGTCCCTCCACTGCACTACTTCTTTATCTTCCACTGTTATCTATTTTTTCACACAAGATCATTTGTATTTCTATCTTCTCAACCAGATTGGGAAGTTCTTATGGGCAAGGACCATGGCCTTATTCATTCCCAGTATCTATCACATGCAACCCCATGAACTGTATCCCACCAGGCTCCTCTGTCCATGAAATCCTGCAGGCAAGAACACTGGAGTGGGTAGCCATTCCCTTCTCCAGGAGGTCTTCCCAACCCAGGGATCTAACCCTGGTCTCCTGCACTGCAGGCATATTCTTTACTGTCTGAGGCATCAGGGAAGCCCCACATAAGAACTAGAATGTACAATAAAACAATGCCAAACAAGTGTAAGTCAGTGTAATCACAGGTCTGTGAAGTTCCAAACTGGACTTTAATAAGCACTTTATAAAAGAGAAGTGAGTGCTATTATTGAAAGTAGGCAGCTTGAGATGCTAGAAACTCTTTTCAAAAATAACATAATTAGTCAAAATAGTTTTGGAATTTCCCTTTTATAAATGTGTTCAGAAAGAGTCGATAACATTACTTTTTAGCTGTTGACCTGTGGGGTTACCAGCTTGAACATTTGTCTTACTCACTAAATACCATTCCTAATGACTTGTCTGTATACAAATTTTCAAAAGCACCTGCAAAGATTAGATTTGTTACTATTAAAATATACCCAGAAGAATGTAAAATAATCACCTCCAAAGGGCAGCTCCAGAAATGACTGTGGCTATGACATTATTAAAATAGATATGTGATTTCTCAATGTGACTGTTTCAAGGAAAGCAATTATTTTGTTCACATATAAATTTTGTTGGATTTTTTGTTGTATTAAACTTATTGCATCGGACCCCATAAGGGCAAAAGTAATACAGAGTAAGTGTTCTGAATGGAAGTTGAAGGCTATGACTGAAGAGGTATTTGAAAGGATGTGTTTTGAAAAAAGCTATGAATATATATTGGTAAAAATGAAACAAAAAGGGAGCTGAAAAATCAAGGGAAGAAACTGGAATCAGCAAAGACTGGGAGATGAGAGCAAGTAAGTTTAACCCATCAACTGACATTTTGGTGAATATTTACCATGGTCCAAATCTTATATGAGGAGTTGAGGGATAAAGAAAGAGAGACAAGTATTAATAACTGACAATATTCAGTGTGACAAGTGGAATGTTGTAGGTTCACAGCTGAGGGACTATGTGTCATGTCCCAGAACAGGGGTGGTCAGGGAAAGATTCCTGGCAGACCTCAATAGCTGGACTAAGAACTGGAGGACCAGAAGATGCATGAGGTGAAGAAGAGACAAGTTCTCATGGTTGGAGGTCTAATCTATATCAAGCACAGGGAATAAGCACAGAGACAGGTGGCCAACAGAGCTGAGAGATTATTCCCTACAGATAAGAACTTAAGACAGGAACTCCAGATGTACAGAAAAGCCCAGCATTGACTCCTAAGACCAGTAACTGCTTAGGTGGGAGAGGAAGGGTAGACCAAGGAATCAGCAGTGACCTCAGTGTCTTGAAGTATACTGAGCTATTCCCAGATATAGGAATGACAGGAGAAGGAAAAGGAGGTTTGGTGGAGTAGATAAGTAGGCAAAAGAGCAATGTAGCTGAAGTGAGAAAACTGTTCAGCAGAGTAGCAGCCATGGCTGTTGACTGCTTTAAGGAGAGCTGGGAGGAGCCTGACTGATTCCCAGAAAGGAACTGCGCTGAAATATGCTTTCTGTTACTGGCCTCTCCCCAGAGCTAAACCTAAATTCCACTGTGTGCATTTAGATGATCCGTATCAGAAGCCAGGGGTCTTGTGGTGGTGTCTCCAAACACCACCATCTTGAGGTGCATCTGAGGACCTAAGATGCCAGGATCTACCTGGTGATGTCAACCCAAAATGTATTCAGCAGTTTAATTACTCAACTAGATTGGGGAATGGCCTTCCCCCAAGGACAGTGCTTCTAGTCAAAGCAAATTCTACTGTATAGGAGGAACTGGCAGGAAAATATTCAGGTGATCCTGTAACTAAACAGAGTTACTGCCGTTTCTTAAATTTCTATAACTTGACTGATAGATAGGAAAATGAGATCCCACAAACTTTCATCTGGGGAAAAACTCAGTCTCCAAGACCAAACTGAAATCTACAGACCATCAGCAGTAGAAAAACATGAATAAAAGCCACCACTAGTTTTGGTTTTGCCAAAACTGAAACTATATATATATGTCTTTACTAATTATAACTCACACATAAAATTGCCTCTCAAGACAAATGCAGAATTAGGCACTTGTTCTCAATTTATTCTCTCAGACCCAATAAGCTGAAAAAAAACCTCAATGGCAGAGATCCTGTGTTATTTGTCTATTTTGCCCCAGTTTGTAGTATAGTAGTTATTGCACATAAGTGCTCAACAATACATGTTTTAAATAAATGTTTAATGAAAAGTATATGTGTATGTATATATATATATGTGTGTGTGTGTGTGTGTGTATATATATATATATATATATATGAACTGGAGAGAGGTACAATGTTGGCAGAAAGCTTAGGTGTTTTGGACAATCCAGTGCTGAACTGACTAAACACTATACATGTTGAAGAAAAAGATTCTGTAGTACATATCAAGCATAGGTTGATATATCAATCTACTTCATAGCTTGACATATCAAGCTACTCTATACATCTCACCATACAACCCAGGAACCCAGGAATGTGTAATGAAATGTTTGTGGAAGCAGGGATTAAAAGGAAGATTTCTTTGAAAAATAATGCCTTGCATTCGTGCAGTGCTTTAGGCTTTCCAAAACACTTTTAAGTGTATTATCTCATTTGATCCTCAAAGCAGTCGTGGGAAATAGCCAAGCCAGTCATTATTATCCATTTCACAGATGAAGAAACTGATATAGAGCATTTAAGTGTCTTGCCTGAGGTTATAGAAGTAATTGGTGACAGAGCTGAGACAAAAACCCCACTCTTTCTGATTTCTTATTGTCTCATTCCACTATCCCGTCTACAGCCCTGTGAAGCACATCTAACATAATATTTAGGGTGGGGACCTCTGGGCAGAGGTCTGGACACAGCTTCTTATCACTTCCATTTTGGAACAGAACAAGCTGACCTACTTATAAC